TTTGCCAACATCCGGCTCCGAAGCTCCCCCTCCATTAACTCTCTCACTTCCCGTCACCTTTGTCACCCAGTCAATGCAAGTCCGCAAGCTGTGTCCCGCCCGTCCATCACATGTCTAAACGGCTCCTAACGGCCACTAAAGTCTCTTTTGGGGCCAGCGGTCTGTAATCTAAAATGAGTAGAAATCTCATTTATACCTTTGGAGAACGGAACACCTAATGAAACTGGCCATTTGAAGACATCCAAACTAACTACTGAAAGTCAACGAATCTGCTCACGTGACTCGGCAGGGTGGCCCAGAAGTAGGGTGTCTTCCCAAGAGTCAATGCTCGAACACAGGAAATAACCATTGCCGCCAAGGTCACTGGCGCGTCCCACCTAAAAAACTATCTTGGTTGAGATGGTGGTGAAATTAATGTAAATGCTGGTTGTCCCTTTCATCACCACGGGGTGACAGACCCAAAGATGACTCTGAAAAGTATAGGAGAGACTATCTTCCCATTTGCTGGTCTCCACGCGAGAAACGCTTTCCCCAAAATACGCCTGATCAAACTCCTTGGGAAGCACGTCGGGACTGTCTTTGGAAGGATAATTTTGCTAAGCACGTTCTCATCCCCAATGTGCATTACTGTTTGAGAATTAAGAAAAGAAGTAGCTTCTTCTCTTTCACAGGACACGACAATAAAGTATCTTCTAGCTGTTGGAGTCTTGGGTATTTGCCGAAGGAGTTGAAAATTTATGTCCACACAGAAACCTGCACGTGGATGTTTATAGCAGCTTTATCTGTCACCGCTGATACCTGGAGGCCACCAAGACGTCCTCTAGCAGCTGAGTGAATAAAGACACTGTCATAGACAGAGAATGGAAAGTTATTAAGCGCTACAAAGACGTGAGCCACAAAGCCACACAACGATACGGAGGAACCTTAAAGGCATCATGACTAAGTGAGAGAAGCCGTCTGGAAAGGCTGCACACTGAATGAGTGCAACTCTAGGACATTCTGGAACGGGGAAAACTATGGAAACGGCAAAAAGATCCATGGTTGCCAGCGGGAGGGAGAGGGAGGGACGAGTAGGTGGAGCACAGAGGATGTTTGTTTGGGGCAGAGACACTACTCTGTGTGACACTGTCATGGCGGCTACATGTCATCATCCATTTGCCCCAACCCACTGAACGCAGAACATTGAGACTGAACCCTAACGTAAACGACGGTCTCCGAGTGATGACGACGTGTCACTGCCGGTCTCATTAGTTGTGACAAAGGCACTGTCCGGTGCGGGTACGGATGGGGGGCTGACAAGGAGGTGTCAGGGGAATTTCTGTACCTTCTTCTCAATGTTACTATGAACCTAAAACTGCTCTTAATTAAAACAACAACACCAGAGTTACAAAAACAAAGATTTATTCAAATAAACGAAGTATTTATGTCCCCCCAGAAATCAGTGTCATTTCGGAGGCATCAAGGACAGCCAACAGCAGCGTTTCAGGCTGAGCTGCGAAAGCTCATACATGCTAATAACCGAAAAGCAGCCAACTACATCACAGGGCTGTCCCTGGGTTCTCAGGAGTGACCCCTGGCCGACCTGCCAGCTCCCTCACTTAGAGGCATCAAGTGCTACGGCCCCATTTCAAATCACAGGGACAGCACCAAAGTTCGGGGCCCAGACACTTGCAGAGAGAAGATGCAGAAGGAAGCAGTTCATTCCTCACTTACAGGGCTGAGACGTGGGGTCCCTTCTCCTGTCTTCCTAGGGAAATTTCTTCATTATCGCCCATCGTATGACAGTTATAATGCTGAAGGCACAACCATCTTTTTAGAGCACGTGGGAAATGACTAAGTTAACATCTTATCACCAAGATCTCTTCACGTTTTTAGTAAAACCACCTTATTTCATCCTAGAAAAAAATGAGCGTGAAGCTTAAGGAAATATGTTCGATTGACAAAGTCTCTTAAAAAAGGAACTTAAGAGAGAGCATAAGTACTGAGATTTCCACGGCAGAGAGCCGTAAACTAACTCTCCCTGTGTGAAACCACATCAAAAAGCAAACTAGGATTTAAGTGTCCAAGGGCAGTTAGATGTATCTGCTTATTATAGATACCTAACATCGAATATCTTCATTTATTGTCTGTTAACATAAAAGGTAACAGCGGATCTCAGTTAAAGAAACAAATACCTTTGGCTATGCCATTCTTCAAAACAAAAAAGAGATCAGAGTTACTATAAACTGCAGTTAAGCCACATGACCTTCAGAAGGTCTACACTGCGAACAGCGTTTGTTTTTTTTTTCCGCGTTCACTTTTATTTATTGATGTTATTTTGAAAGCATTACTTTTTAGTATCTTCCCTGGAGCAGACTCATCTCCACCAGCACAAGGTGATCAGCCTGTTTCCACATTTTTCTTTAAATGAAGGGACGGGAAAGCACTCTTGGGGGGTGGGCGGGGGGTGGATATTGCATTACGAGGGAGTGGTATTTTGCTTCTCTTCCTCAGAGCGACAGCAACGATCTCTCTCTGTGCTGAGGACAAAAGTTAATCACTTTTAGCAGATAGTACCAAGCACCCTCGAGGGGTCACCGACTTCCTTGATAATCTACAATCATGTGCCTGAGCACAGACACACCTACGAAGACAGGAATGCAAAGAATTTACGAGAGACAACAAAGGACGGAGACTCTCTCTAAACACAGTCTTAGTCGCTGCGGTTTTGCTATGAGATCAATTCGATCAATGATGTTTGGGGCGTTGTGTTGGCTGGGCTGGTGGTTACAGCAATACTAGATATTTCCTGCACTCGAGGGTTTTGTGTTGTTAAGGGTGGAAAATTTTCAAGCGAGCAAACTAGCTAAGTCAGCTACAGGGAAGAAATATCTTTAGATACCAGAAGTTGTCCTACTTGCTCGTGTGTGGTTTAGGAAGTGTATTGTATAAAATATGAAGATGGCCAATGTCTGCTTCTGTGATCCATTTACTTGTTAATTAAGGGTGTTGTTCTGGGCAAAGATATGCTAACAGCCAACTTCCACTTCTGTAATCTGCTTGCTTGTTCAGGAGACCACCAGGATGTGGCCTTAAGCTTTATCAGCTGCCTCCTCTGAAAGCTCAGGGCTGATCTCTAGCCCTGCCTGGTAGAGAGTCAGGCGCCGGGCCGGCTAATAAAAGCTCATAATTAATCTCAATTGGCTCCGTGTGTCTCAGAATCGTTCGCGCCATAACATTGTGTGTGTGTGTGTGTGTGTGTGTGTGTGTGTGTGTAGCCTGGGAGAGAAGTCAGACATGTAAGAAAAGAGGCAGGGGAATGTTTCCATGGATGTGCTTTCTTAAGTCATAACCAATGACGGGGGGTGACTTCCCTGAGAAGTGACACGTTTGGGTGAAGGTGGAGTCGTGACACAGAACATGGATTTTTTTCAGGAACTCAGTGCCACGAAGGATGTTCGCTTGAGGGGCGGCAGCATTTACAAGAAGAGACGCAGGGGTCTGGAACTGAACGCTCCTGGTTCTGGAAGGTTCTGAATGGTCCAACAGACCTGGGACAGAGCGTATGTGGAGGGGTGTCAGCAGTTGGGGGGCCAAGCCACCAAAGGCCATTGCACACACGCCCTCCATGAAGCACAGAGGGCGAGAGACCCAAGGGATTGGGAAGGAAAGGAAGGCAGTGGCGTGGCGAAGAGAGAAGGGAGGAGACTCTGTGAGGGAGGCTGAGAAGCAGCCACCGGGGACAGAGAGGAGAAAATGACAGAGGAGAACATCCCAAGGAAGGGAACGCAGGTGACAGACGTCGCTGACGATGACAGCTGACACACTCTCACAGTCGCCAGGTCGTAGGACGCCAGGCGTAGCTGGCTGAACCCCGGCCCCAGAGCCGTCCACTTCGGAACCCCCAGGTCCCCTGGGCAGATATAGCCGTCCACGGCAAAGGACTTTGGAAGATGTGACTCAATGAAGGGTCCCGAGCTGGGGAGAGGATTCTGGACTGCCTGGGTGAACCCACCGTAGTTACGAGGTCCCCGGAGGAGGACACAGAAGACACACACAAACCAGCAGTTTGCGGGGCCCGGAGCCCAGGGATGCTGGCAGCCTCCAGAAGCTGGGAATGGCTGGGAAATGGATGTCCCCTTAGAGCCCTGCAGACACTTTGCTTCTTCCCAGACATCCGACCTCCACCACTATATTTATTCATGTGCCTTGTTCAAACCAGTAAGGTTGTGATCATTTGATACGGCAGAGTAGGAAATTGATACATCGGAGAAAGAGAAGAAACGGAGGGAAATGAACTGTAACTAGTCTCTCAAGAATACGATAGTCAATAATATTGTCATAACCATGTGTGGTGCCCCGTGGGTACCAAACCAATTGGGGGATCCCTTCTTAAGATATATAAATATCTCAGCACTACGCTTGAAACTAATCTAAAATAATACCATCGACTGTCAACTGTCACTGAAAAATAAAATAACTAAGATCGGACAAATGAAATAAAAAACAAAGAAAAACATAATATTGGGCTAATTAATTATATACAATGATATGTGGTATCAGACGGGTACTAGACTAATTGCGGGGATCACTTCATAAGTTTTATAAATGTGTAATCACTATATTGCATACCTGAAACGAATATAAGTATTGTATGCCAACTATAATTTTTTGGGGAAAAAAATGCCGACTAAGACATAGAGACCCAACGTTAAGACGGGACCACGGGAAGGTGCCTTTCTGATGCTATAGAGCAGCTCTGCATTTCCAGACACGGGGCTCTCAGAAAAATCGGTTTGCGAGAATGTCAACAGGTGCCATGTGGAAGCTCTGGTGGCAAAGTGTATATTATGAGAGAGTTTGCTTTCTAAGCCCCGAGAAGTCAACGCACTGCGAAATTCCTTTTCCAAAGCAGTTTAGCCATTTTAACACAAACAGCATTATTCCAATTTCTCCTTAAGATGTAATAAGATGAATTAACTGATCTTCAACTACACCCCAACAAGATGGCATCGCTGTGGAACGTGCCTTCCGATGTCATCCGTGCACTCCGAAAGGCTACGAGAGAGAGCTGACTTTATCCTCAAATCGAGCCCATTCTGGTCAGATGTACCTGAACCTCAAGAACGGGTTTGTTTAGATGCTCGATGCTGCATTATTTCAGAGACCTGTTCTAAGACTTCGCCACAAAAATAGTAGTAATTTAAAAATGCCGAAGGAAGTCATGAGGATAAAACATGATTAGTACCGTGATTGCAAGTAACTAAATGTTTAAACTATTATCGCACATTTCCAAGCATAAAATAATAAATGACAATTATTCAACTTCCAGCTCCTGTTCCCGCTTGTTAACCGATGTTTGAGCATCTATTTGGCTTAGTCGTTTTAAAAATGCGACTTATGATATCTGATCAAAAGAATGAAATTAGTTCAGATTTTTAATTGACTGATGATTGTGGAAGGCTAAATGCAAATACAATGAGACCCCCAAAAAATGGGGAAAAAATAAATAAAAAACACCCGTTACGAAACTTTGAATCTGTAGCTGACATATTTCTCGTTTTAAAGTTTACCGTCATTACGAATCAGCAACTTTTGAAAGGTAAGAAATTAATGAGGATGTAGAATGGTCTTCTTCTGACACCATGGCTTACGACCTGGCCAGCTTGTATCTGCTCTCTTTCTACCCAGAACGGAACGATTTGAACAAACCCATCAATTTACCAGTAAAAGGACAAGTGAAAGACCCATCGTTCCCCAAGGCGGGCTTAAATTTTCTATATCATGGGGAAGGAAATATAGCAGCTAAAACTGTAGTCCGTCTAGAAGACTTAATTCCAGATAAGTCGATGCTAAAGAATTCATAATTTTCTGTGCACGTACAGGACACCAGAACAAACACTTGGGGGAAAATCTGTACAATTTATACTTCATTGCGTCTGAGCTGCTATTCTCTAAAAAAAAATAAATGTCATAAGACACTGTGTTTATTTCCTTCCTGCACCCAGGTTCACAAAATTCAAGGAAGAAAAATAACACCTATCATCTTTGACTGAAAGGCATAAGTGTGGTTTACGAAAACATAACGAACAAGGGCCATTTTTTTCTCCATCTTACGTTAAAGCATCAGAGAACGATTTTCTGCACAACGGAAAAAGAGCAGTGTCCACTCAGAGGCCGGTCGGTCACCTCTTGGCCAATACGTAGGGGAGCTTCAGGTGTGGGATGGTGAGTTCCCAGAGCTGGACCAAGCTCACATCACCAAGGGTCACTTCCTCCAGCGCTCAAGGAACAGGAGGAGGTCCGAGGACAAGTCCAATGTCACCAGGCCACTTGGCCAGCTAAGCCGGGATGAGACCGCCTGCTGCTGGCTTCCAGGAAGTGCCCGTTTCACTTCCTGTTTAACGACCGCGTGGCACACACGAAGCTGCACTCGGCACACCACGTTTGTGGCACACATGAAGCTGCACTCGGCACACCACTCTGCAACACGCTGTGCCCTGTTCTGGGCCCCATGAGAGTGACGGATACTTCTCTACGTCAATCTCCAACTGCAAAAGGTCCCATGAGGACACGGTGACCGCTGTGCTAGTCCATGATTTTCCTATAGATTAGGGGACATGCCGCCTCGGTAAACCCTAAGTATTATACCCCCCATCATCGTATGTCACGCTTCAGTAAATTTATACTTAGGAACACAACGGAAAATGCCCAGCAGTCGCTGTGCAAAAGACAGGAAGCAGGATATAGTCAAGGGAGAATTTTAGACTGAAGATCCTTAATTATCTGCAACTGAAATGTATTTCGCTAATATTTACTCTAGGTCCACAGAGCACCGGGGGTAACATCCAACGACCTGTCAGAGAAAGACAGAACAATTCCACTGCCCTATGGATATTTATCACCTACTCCCAGGAGGCAGGTTGAGTCAGGATTACCTCGCTGTCAAATTCTCACACACGCACACAGACGCATATACACAGACACACACAGAATCAAGAAGCTCCCCACTTTTACCTGTAAAAACACGCTTCATTAAAAAGTTGGTGATCAGAACGAAAGACAGTGACCACTGGTCCTTAATCAAGTGTCCTGCTCTTCAATGGTCTAGGTGATGAAACAAGTAACAAGCACATGACGAACCCCGTCATCATGATGGTTTCCCATGATCAATCCCCCTAATTATGAGCCATATCCGTCACGATCAGAGTCACCGTAATCTGTCACGAGAACAGCCGGGGGCAGCCCATGCTAATCAGCATGTGCCAGCTGGATCACGTTGTGTTTTAGGCTGACGACGGCCATCAGCTCTCGCCATGGAGCATGCAAGTTCCACATGTGACATTTCAGAACGCTCTAAGACCCCGTTCATCCACACGCCCCAGATTCCACGTTACGAACGCCGGCTCCGTGTTTGAGAGCTCGTGAAGCCTGCACTAATAAAATTCCTAACCTGAAAGCACATATCTCTATCATCAGTAACGTTTTGTGATATATATTCATCTTCATTTCTCATGTGCAGATCACAGACGTTTACCGTGACCTGTCCCACTATCCCACAAAGAATCGCACCAGATGTGTCATAAAGAGTCAAATAAATATCTTAGACTTTGCAGGTTGCCCAGTCCCTGGCACCGCCGTTGAACTCTGGCACTGCGGTGTGAAACTGGCTCGAGCGGACATGTGAATGCAAGCGTGTGGCCGGCTCGAGAAAATTCCACTTGTGAACGGAAGTGACTGGCCCACAAGCCACAGCTGGCGCACCTTCCACTAGGACACGTGGCATAGTCACTTACTCAAAGTGACTTTATGTGCAATATCGGCGTACCGCATAACTGATAAGTAGTATAAGATTATCTACTCAACTAGATATAGTTGATCTTTACTTTTTCCACCCTGAAATATATTGTTTTGGCAGAAAAGAAGCATTAAACTAGGAAAAAAATTGGCAGTATAATACTGGTAACAAGGGAAACAATCATGGATTTGGGGACTACTTACAAAAAAAGGATCAAGGAAGCTCAAAAACAAATTATTTATATTATTTTATTACTATGTTTACATTATGTATATTTTTATTACGATTATATTTATATATTTAAGTATATCTCAGTTGTTGTACTAAATTACTATATCTACTCGATGTCCCTCTAAATCGCAAAATGTTTAATGAAAGATTCATTTGGATAATGTGTTCAAAACTAAGTAGAACATAAAATATCTCATTGTTCAAAGTTATGAGCCCTTAGGAAAATTCTGGTCACCAGAACCTTCAGCATCTATTAATTGAGTTCCATACAATACTTCCTGATTTTTGGTTCATGCCTTGATCCCTTCACTTAGAAATGAAAATCATGGTTTCAGAAGTGCCATGAAGGCAGGCTTTCTTGGTCATCGGTTTTGAATTGAATTAAGCCACCCTTGGAATAAAACAAAGGAATTTCTAGCATGAGTTTACCAGGACCAACCCAGGCAACTATAAAAATCCACTGTTAAAAAAAAAAAGAATTCTTTTAACAGGTAGTATAAAACCAGAAAGTGTTCCTTCAACCTTCTATAGGAAATTTGGCTACAAGGGTATAAGCTGAAATTTTAAAGAATTAAATAGACTTAATGAATTATTCGTATTTCCTAAGCAGCTGTTTTTTTCTTTATTTATAATCACAGATTCTTCACGGTGAAAAGGATATGCATGCATGCCGCTCTATTCTTTAAAACATCAGAAGCCCATTGTCTAGATTCCACATGGAATTGAAATCATATGACATTTGTCTTTCTGAGTTACTTAGCATAATGCCCTCTAGGTCTACCCACGTTTTTTTTTTTGCAGATGGCAAGATCTTATCCTTTTTTATGGCTGAGCAATATTCTATCGTCTATAGGAATCGCCTTTTCTTTATCCATCCATCCACTGATGAACACTCATGTTGCCTCCATATCTCGGCTATTGTAATCAACGCTGCAATGAACGTATGCACGCACATGTCTCTTTGAAGCAGTGTTTTGGGTTTCTTCGTAGGAATGCCCAGATGTGGGGTTATTGGGTTCTCCTGTGTAGTCGTGGGCATGGAGAACAGAGCATGGGAAATGTGGTCAGTCCTTCTGTAATAACTACGTACTAGATTGACCAGGGTCATCCCTTCGTCAGCTATATAAGTGCCTAATTTCTGTGTTGTACGCTCAAGACTAATAGGACGCCGTATGTCAAAGGTAACGGAAGAATAAAAAAAAAAATTTTATTAGAAAGAACGAAAACGAAATAAAATATCACAAACCTGATCAGCGAAAACTAGCTGCTTAGCAGCAGATCTGTTTGACAACAAAGACGCCCAGTTCACAGGCCAGTGTGTTTTCCCACTACAGCTGGCACCGCCTGTGACAACCGCAGCAGTGAGTGTCTGGAGACGCCAAGGCAGGAAGAGTGATTTATCGCTTGTGCCTCATCCTCCCAAGCCATCCCAAAGATACCGCACAGGAAGGTCCAACCTAGGGCCACATCTCATCAAGGGCCACCCCGAACCTTCACCCCGAAGCATCGCCCCCACTGGAGCGGCCGTCCGACGCTTGCACAAACACGCCGAGAACGGCCCGTGGTGTCGGATGCAGGCTGAGCCCACGCGCGTGGGGTCAAGTCAATACGAAAGCTGCCTGCAGACAGACGGACTCATTCCCCTGCCCTGACCGTGCACTTCTTAGAATGTGCCCGTTGGGTTTCATGATGGGACCTGTCATACTGTGACCGGTGAGTGCTGCGCGGCTCTGAGCCCCATGCCAGGCCGATGACGAAGGCTTCTCCTTGGAACTACGAAAGGCTGGCGACACTAAACAGAGGGCCCCTTGCTCCGTGCCCAGGGAAATGGTTGTAACCTGCACCGGGTCGCTGTCGCCAAGGCTGCGTGTGTGCAGAGGGATTTGCAAGCTCCCGGGACTTCACGCTTCGGTTACACACTCATGCTCCCTCGCAGGGGGAAATGAAGACGGCCATTTAAAAAAGAAACTCTTGCCCGATTCCTAGGACAAAGGGATGCGTGTAAGGTGTCGCCACCGATCATTTCGTGGTTGGCGTGGGGAGAAATGTGTACGCCCACCGAATACGTGTGATGAAATGGGTAAATCTATGTATACAAGACAGAAACAGCAAAGTAGGATCGTCTTGCGAATTGGCATGTGGATGAGAGATAGGGAACGGATTCGTCTTTGCTGATTCGTTACAAATTACCTTTGAAAAAAGCTTTAAAAACTAGCATTTTGTGTGTGTGTGTGTGTGCGTGTGTGTGTGTGTGTGTGTGTGTGTGTGTCATGAAGTATAAAGAGGAGTTTGGAAATCAAACGTGATGGGAATAAGAGTTCAATGAAGGACATGAGCTGGTCGCCCTTACAGAATTCGGGAAAGCTCCACAGGAGAGACGTGGCGAGTCCGTGCTCTGTGCTTAAGAGACGCTCAAAGCCATTTGCGATCTAAGCCGCGGCACTCAAATCGATCAGAAAATCAGTAAATAACCCGTAGTTCATCGATATCATCATAAATCCTGCCTCAGCGGAGCTTGACTTGACACCTGAGCCATGAAGAGACAAACAATGACTGGAAACTTAATAAGTCGCATCCTTTCAAAAATTTACGTATGATGTGGAAAGGCCCAGATTCGCACTTGTGACATATGTATATTGAGATTGCTCACAACCGTAATGCATAAAAGGGTCTTTTCTACTCATGTCCCATTACGCAGGCTATGCTCTGTTTCTGGTTCCCAGATGCAGAGGAGGATCCTGTGGCCTCAGTGGGCCCTCAGCCTGTGCTGGAAGCGCGCGCCTGACACATGGGTCCTACTCCGTGGGGGCAGCCAAAACAGGGTACAATGACATCCTGAGACCACTCAAATACTTTAGCTGTAAACCAGATGGGGCCTCCAATAACCAACGGGTCCACGGCTGAGTTTCAGGGGAGTTTACACAGATGGGTCAGATGATAACGGACTGGTTTATGAGACAGGCTCTGCTTTGTGGCTGTGCACACGGACAAAGAATTCTCACGGGACCCTGCATTTTCAACACGCGCCTTTATGTGCTCTCCAAATACCTCTGAAATCACCGCGTGCCCGTCTATTTGTTCACTGCAAATAGATGTTTTAAAACTATTGTTACCAGCAGTCTACCCTGAAATGCAATCACCAGATTACATTTAACTGTACATGCGGCCATAAGCGAGGTCAAGGGTTGGTCCTGTCACTTACCATTCCACTGTTCTTCTAAGAAAAGGCCTTTAAGAGTGACTCCGTACCAACTCTGGGCTTCACTCCCATGTCAGCACACGTTTCTCCTACGAAAAGACGAAAGAGAAACTCATTGCTCCTCTCAGTCAAAGACATGGCGGATGCTTCACAATCAGAAGTACACTCCTCATAAGCTTTCTTTTGGGTAGTGACAAGTACCAGCCGGTGATGGTGGCATAGTCATTCTTCCCCGGTCGGTTGCCTGATAATTCAAGCAATTGAGGAAGAGAAGCGACACGTGGATTCTCTCACGAACCATTCCGTCCACACTCGACGTGAGAATCCAGAATAAAAGGAGACTCTGAGGTGTGACCAACACACATCACCTTGGCAGTAACCTGAGCATCGTTCACTTTTTCTGGAAGATGATAATTTAGGGCAGGTCTACGCTCAACCTAGCTTATTTAAATTAAGAATGTAAACTCCTTGCCAAATTTAATTTGTGAAAAAGCCAATGCACACTGTGTCGATCATTTATTTCCAAGAAGGAATCGTGAGGCTGCAGATTTGTCCCCCCGTCCGCCCACATCGGTGGGTCAGAACGCACAGGATGAAACGCTGTATCTCCTGAATCTCCTGCGACGAATCTCATCTGCTTGGTCGGCAGACCACATGACACCGTTCTTGTGACTTCACGGGGCGATCTTCTCTGTAAAGGACGCGTCTCTCCCGACACTGCTCACGCTACGTACAAGCAAGAGCCGTTGACGAGGCAGGCGGCTCCTTGCGAGGATTTCTGGCCGAATCCCCACGTGCCTTTGACACGTACCGAGCAGAAGGGGAGGAAAGACTTCTCCTTGGAAAGAACCCTGCTCACCGATACCAGTTCTGGGGTGAGGGGGACCGTCTCCATGCCGTCAGGGAGGGAGGTCTCCATCCATCCTGCTGGCCTCCCCTGCCACCTCCGGGTCTTCCCTTAGAGGTGCTGGTCCCTATCCTCAGCACACACCACACAATCTCTGGTACCAGGCAAGCTTAAGTGTGTGCTCCATACTTTTTATTTCTTCTTGGACGATACCCCTTCGTGTGTGAACTCACACCGTGGCGCTCTTTCATACAGCTTTCTGTATGAGAAGCTGACGCCCCACCACTGACGACTCAGGGGAAGGCCGTGGCCCTCTGCTACCTGCCATTTCGGTTCGTATCGACAAAGAATTGGGATCAATACTCCTCCACTCAAATCGTTACTCTATTTTTCTCACTCGTTCTGTGTTCCATGATCCATTGCAGTCCCCGGTGTACTAAGCCTCATATTGTGTATTTAAAGCTAAATTATAAGATATGGTCATGGGGTGAATAAGATATTTTGAAGGTTAAAGAATAAATTCTCTAGATTAAAACACTTCGTGATTTTACCGTTAAATTTAGACTATTATAGAAGGCCTTGAGAGAGATAAATAAGACTACAAAGGGCTCATCATTTTGAAATGAATACAAAATTACATACTGTAATCTGTTTTCCCATAAAACTATATGCTCTGCCATATAAATATCATTTGTAAAGACTTACAGTATCCTTCGGCTACCGATTCACCTATAAAAGCTTCTTTGAAAAACAAGTATCACCTACAATGATTTGATATTAGTCAAGACAAAGCGATATTGATGAATTACCCATGTATTGGCAAATGTTACCATAAAAATTGTGTATGTTTAATGGAGCCTTAGCATGCAGAGAACAGACTGCTCAAAGCATGCATACCTTCGGAGGCATATCAGACGTGGCAGCTAAGACGGATGTATTCCACGCTACGATGATGTCTGAAGGAAGCCTCTCCACATAATTACATCTTTACCACTTGAGATTCGGGGGTTCACCGAGGCCTTTAGAGCCATTCCAATGAGTCCTGGTTAGTAGCTCAAAAAGATACCTAGAACATAAGACATAAAGATATGATTATTTTCAAATCGATGTAGCTCTGACTTTTCGATACGGCACCGTTAAGATTTGATTTCCTTGTACCTAAATGATTTCCAATGCGTATGGCCTAGAAATCCTGCGTGCTTTCATTTCGCGAGTGTTTGCTGAGCAAAGACCTTGAATGGCACAGACGGAAAAGGATTTGTGAGGATGGATTCTGACACAGAAGCCTCGCGGGGCTGCTGGTCTTATGAAGGAGACAGTCACCAAAGAAAGGACTTGTATATAATTGCGTGAACTCCTCTACCAGTGACATAGGAATAGAGTGTCATGCTCAGAGAGGTGACAGCTCTGAGAATGTCTTAGCAGACGGCCTCAAAGAGGATCTTGAGAGAGGAGGAAGACAAGGGCCATAGTGTTCAGACAACAGTCTCCAGAAGCAAGACATGGAAAGTGTAAACAGACTCCCCGGGGGCCTCGACAAGTCTGCGACATGATTATAGCTAAAGGTCCCCAAGGCACTGACATCTTCCATGATTCCCATGTCTGCATGAGGACTTGCACGAACATACACAGAAGCAGGACAATATAAACTTAGTTTTAACCTAAAGAGATTTCTGAGGTATTTTTAAGTTAAAAGAAAAACTAGGATCATTCCTTCTATATGTAGTTTTGAGTCACAATGACTTGCTAAATTTCTAAAAGAAAGATGGGAAGGACAAGTTTTAATTTGGGCACATTTTCTTGAGGAGCTAAAATTGCTCAGGTGAGAAAAAATACTTATCTCTAGGGGTCATCCTGGATATTCTTAGATGTGTATATAAATGTTCAAATTAACATAAATTACCTTACTTTGCACCCAAATTTATCTAATCTGAATTTTATCTCCCATGTCTCAAACAGAACCATCTTCCAGACTATATCCATTTCTGAAAAGAAGCATATTTAACAAAATATCTGTTTCTGTCTAGGATTTGCTCCCAATTTTTTTTTTATGCAATGTTTAAGTGGTTTAATTTTTAGCATTATGAAAGTCAAGAAAACAACACAAAAAATTTCAATTTAGATTTTAAGAGGACTTTAAAATATATATAATCGATTTTATACAAATCTACTCCACTTAAATCATCCCACCATTCTAATGAACTCTTAAGAAATTCATTTCTTGTCACAGCTAATTTGGGCCCAAACCTTTACAACAAAACTAAAGAAGTACGTAGGTTCATCCATCCAGCAAACAGTGGAAACACTGATTACTACCCAGCACGTTAATAGCTTCAATGTAAGACTAAGTGATCAAGCTCCAAAATCTGTAACATTCCTAAAATGTACCACTGTCCATTTTCTAGGCATGGGACATTTGACAAAGCTTTTCCACAACACTGTCTTTAAAAAAAAAAAACAAAACAGAATAAAATTGTAATAACTGTAGGGGCATGAATACCGGAAAGAAGATTTTAAAGGATAAGTCAGCATTTGGAACTAAATAAGGGAAGTATATTGAATGATGCATGTATTTTCAGTACATTCTTCTAGTTTATAAACGCTAAACTGAGCAACCAAGGAAAACACAACTCCCCTTCAGTGAAAGACGAACTCCGTCCTATGACAAACTGGCTTAATGATCAAAGGTGCTCTCTGCTCATCGTCCCTCCGGTTAGCTACATGACTAGGAAAACTGTGATGGCTGCATGGTGAACACTGGTCCTTAACACGCAACATTTGACCTTCTCGTTCATTCATCGAATACCAAGAGACAGTCTTACAACTAATCGCTTTTTCAAACAATACCCAATGAGCACCTCATCTATGCCAGAGTCACGAGAGACACATTTTTAGAGGAGGCAGGAAACCATTAAACACACAGACGCGTAGACGAAAAATAAACAATGTTTCCAAGTTTGGGTAAGGCGTAGATGAAAAATAAACAGTGTTTCCAAGTATGGGTAAACCCTGGGAAGGAGA